ATAGTAGGGACCGTGCTTTATCACAGCTACATTTAATGATATTACTCTAGAATGTTCTCTTTCCAGATGATGATTAAGAGGCTAATAGAAAAAATGCTGCCAGGTACCACAGCAGCAACAGAACTTTGCTGTTGTCTGGATATTATTCTTTTCTTTGTTTTGTTTTGTTTTTTTTTTAATGGAATGTGCTGAATGTCTATAATTTTGTTCAAATGACTGCAGAACCTGGAAAAGCTGTTGCTGCTATCGATGCATAACATACTATTATTAGTCTTTATATATATATGTGTATATATATATATATATATATATATATATGCACACGCTTTACTTTATCTTTTAGAAACTATACACTTTTGCATTTTATGTTTAACCTGTAATCTATTTTTTAACTAACTTTTGTGAAGGCTATAAGGTCTATGTCTAGATCTATTTATTTTTCATTAAGATGTCCAGTTGGTCCTGAACTATTTGTTGCCTTTGTTCTTTGTCAATGATTTATATTTATGTAGATCTATTTTGGGGTTCTTTCTATTATTCAGTATCCCACTCGCTAGATCACTGTAGCTTTATAATATTTCTTCAAGTCAGATAGTGTCAATATTTCAACTTTGTTCTTCCATACTTCATAGCTATTTGGAATCTTTTGTTCCTCCACATACACTTTGTAATTAGTTTGATAAGATTCATAAAATAGCTTTCGGAGATTTTGATTTAAATTTCATTGAATCTGTAGCTCAAATTGGGAGAAACTGACATCTTGATATAATTTATCTCCATGAACATGGAACACCTTTAGTGTGTTTTTGATGTCTTTCATCACAATTTTGTATTTTTTTCTCATTTGCATCTTACATATTTTGAATGGTTTTTATGTAAATGACTATACAGCATTAATCAGCTTTGCATTACAAAACAATACCTGAGGGAGCCAACTTATATATTTTGAAAAGTTTATTTAGGTCACAGTCTTGGAGGGCCAATGTTGAAGCGTGGACACAGGGTGGGAAGCCATTGTTTTACTTCTGGTGAGGGTAGATGGCAGCACATCATGGCTGGAACACCTATTAGAGCAACAGTTACATCTCAAACTAGAGCGGAAAGAAAAAGATAAGGATCCGACAGTACTTTTCAAGTGCACACCCTCATAAAAGGACTTGCACCATATCTTAACACTACCCTGGGGACCAAGCCTTTACTGTAGGGCCCCTTGTGGGCCTATGCTTAAGCCACAGCAAAGGTATTGTGTATTTATTTTTTAAACTCCTCTTGTTTATTGCTGGAATGATACACAGAATCCACTTGACTCTTTAATGCTAATTTTATATCCTTCAACATTACTATAATTATTTATTAGTTCCAGTTGTCTTTAATTTTCAAAGTACTTAGATGTGCACACTAAATAGAACTGGCTTTTATTTTTATATTAGAAAGACAGAGAGCTTGATTTTTTTCATTCATTGATTTGACGTGTCAGTATAACCTGGAAAATGAATCCTACAGATTTATTATAATTAAAGAATTTTATATTTTCTGTGTTAATTCAAGATTAACACTACCAGTCCTTGCCCTTCTCCTCGACCATACATATTACTTTAGTACCGTTTCCTGATATGAATAGTGGTGTTGCTCACAAACACTAATTAACATCTCCATGGTTTACTCTTTAACTGTTAGAGTCAGAGCCAGAGGAAATAAAGTTATTATTCTATGAGTCAGGCCCAGCATCTCTGTGAGCTGATGAATTCTAACTCCTGTTTTGCCATTATGCATCTTGTGTAAATGATAGAGTCTATTAACCTCTGACACAATAAAAGTGATGCTCAGAATTGAGGTTTCTCTATAGATAATGAAGATTATGTAACACTACACAATAAAATTACCTTTCATTTTCTCAATATTTTTGCAAAGTTAACTTCAATTGTCTGCTTTGTTTTTACTGATAGCAAAAAAACTAACAGTAAATAATTACCCTTAAGACTGAAAGATAAATTTGACTTAACCATATTAAGATGTAACTTTTCGTAAGAATTGCTTGAGAACAATTGTATAGTTTTTTAAAGTAATTTATATAATGTAAAGTGCTATATTGTATAATAACGATGTTATACAAAATATTTAAAATAATAGTTTGTATTATATAATAATTCTGGAAAATATATTTCTAGCACTTACTAACAAAATGTTTATTCAGTATGTCTGAGACCCCAGAGATCCTCAATTTTGTGGGTATGAGTGTGGTGATGGGGATTAAACTCAAGTCCATTGTACTGAGCTACATCCCCAGTTATTTTTTTATATTTTCATTTGATGACAGGGTCTCATTAATTTTCTCAGTTGCCCAGGCTAGGCTCAAACTTTGCAATCCTCCTGACTCAGCCTTCCAGATATACGGCATAAGCCTCTGTGCCCAGCTCATCTGTATCTTTAATATGCCTCCTTAGATTATTTCAGTGTAGGTATGAACCAGATATAAATGAATATTAAATTTAAAAAGAATTATACCCCCATTCATTTTATATTCAATTTTGTTGTGGCCACTTTCTCTAAAATAGAGAAATTTCTGCAAAATAATATGGGCATTATTTCTGCACTAAGAGTTATATACTAAGCCAACCAGGAGTTTCTGAACAGTAAACTTAGACTATGTTGTGTAGGGAGCCAAAGGCCCCCAGTGTGTACTAAAGATGCACAAACTTGCTTCAACAAAATGACTACTCAAATACCAGTTTTTGATAACCCATTGGTGGTAACAATGAGAGGAACGTTATGAACTTCACCTACCTAACCCTATTCATATGACATGGGCTCTGTGTGGCCATCAATCAAGTTTGTCATCTCAGCTGGAGTAAGAGACCCTTGAGCTGTGGTTGGATGATGGGGACACCATGCTCCTCAATGACTAATCCATGATATTCATAGCTGAACGTGCTGGTAGGAGGTGGGGCCCACGTGGAGGAGGTGGGTCACTGGAGACCTGTCTTTGGGGGTCTCTCTCGCTAGAGCTTTTCTTTTATGTTCTGATTCCTGGCAGCCCTGAGATGAGTGGGTTTACTCAGCCACGTGCCACATGATATTTCTGCCTCAGAGACAGCCAACCATGTACTGAAAGCATGAGCCAAATTAAACCTCTCTTCCTTTAAATTGTGAGTGTCAGATATTTTTGCCCCAGCATCAGAAAATCTGGCTGTTAAGGGCTCCCACTTCAACAAACTTGATGAATGAGACTTCCCATTTGAAATCATATATGCTACACTTGAACTATAAATTGCTGCTTCATATATTGGAACTAAAATTGGATTAACAGTCCTGTCTTTAGGAGCTTTCTTCCCACTTACAAATCTGAAGAACATAAGTATATATGTCAGGCCAGAAAACAATGGAAAAAGTCATCAACAGATGAAAAAACTCAGATGAAGTAGGGGAAGTGGTTACCTTTACTCTTTGCCATTACCTGATTTATTTTGGCTTCTATTCCACTTCATGTGAATACAAAGAAAGTTCACCTAGTAATAACAGCAACTAAGGCAAAAACAGCTTTGCCCTGATAAACTGGAGAGCTTGGAGATAAAAAGCAGGCTCACTTCCTTCTTGGCACACAACCTAGACTAGTAGTTCTCAGCTGAACCACATATCAAAATCATCTGTAAGGTTCTTACAAGTGTAGATGCTAAATCACAACATGAGACAGGAGCTTGGAAGGGCTCATTTGAAAAACAGCTATGTTGATAATCACTGTGCTAGATTTCCACACAGGCAGAAACCCTGGTATAGTTTAACAACTCATCACTGATGAGGGTGAAGAGAGGGCAATATTGTATAACGAGTTGAACACAAGAGCATTCATTATGTATACCAAATTTTACTCGATGGTGATACAAGCATGTTGAACATTTATAGCAAATCATATATATTACATATCAGGCACATCATTAGGTGTTGATGTGAATAATTTATTCAACTACTTTGTGCGACAAAACTTACTACCGCTCCCTTTTTACAGATAAGGAACCAGAAATTAGTGACTTGCTAAAACAAGTGATGGGCTTAGACCCCAGATCTGTCAGCCTATAGTTGCCTCTGCAGATATAAGACAATGTTTCTAATCTGTTTTTAGTACTCTTTGTAATGAGGTTCAACTCTTCTATGTTTCAGTAGATTTTTTTCAAAATGTTACAGTAAATTATTCTCCAGTAAACACTATCTTCTAGCGCAAACTTCCTTGCATAAAATAAGAAGTGGTAAGCGAAGAAAGCATTGAAAACTGCAAGATGCCTTAGAAATTAATATGTCATTTTATCTCGAATAATTGTTCTTACATCATCATCCCATAGGATAAATTTATTTTTCCTTCAAATATTTCTATTTACTCATTTTATCATCTGCCTTCAACATTTGAATTATGTCCTAAGATTTATTTCCCAAATCATCGCATATGTGCTAAGTCTTTGGTTGCATTAAAAAAAAACTCAAAAATTTACTGACATAAGTCAAAAAAATACTAAAATTCTTCTTAAATAAAAGCGTTATGTAAATCAAAATTGAGCTCTCTATTCATGATGAAATATTCCCAAAATTGCACAGTGACTCAATTTTTAATGGTCTTTGTTGGTGAACTTTGAAAAGACTTTTTTTTAATTTTAAATATGTTCAATTAGTTTTTCAAAGAGGCTTCAAGTAACATGGAGACATAATTATTCTTTTAAAAAATCCATATTTTCATTTCCCAGTAATTTGTTCTGACTTAATAGGGGCCGAGGCCATGTTGCAAAATTCCAGAAGTCACCATGCCCAGAAAATACACTGTAAATTTTGACTTCTGAAATTGAATAATATAACTGTACAAATGGAAACTTTTATTATTAGTTTACTTGTTTAATTTTAGAAGGTGTAGGGGGTGTTTTATGTGTAAGTGTGCATGTGTGTGTGTGTTTGGTTTGGAATTTTTTTAAAAAAGATTATAAGCTCCCAAATTATGTGTTTTAGATCTTTCAAAGAAAGAGTGAATTAAAATTTTCTTTTTTCTCCTAGTAAAACTGCTCACTGAGCTAAGATCTACGTAAAAAATTGAATTTCAAATGGTTGCATTTGAAGTGGAAACTTTTTTATGAGAGACAGTTTGTACAAATTATAAATAAGTAATTAAAATGGAGCTCAACTAGAGTTTGGAGGGAAAAGTGAGCTCTTCTTTGTGAATGGAAACTAACCCTTGTCATAGAGGGGTGCAGTTATTGTGACAGCACAAATTATATTAATAGCTAATGGAGAATTGAAATCAAATGTTTCTAAGCTTCAAAGACTCCCTCCCTTCTTTTGAGTTTTAAAAAGGATTTGTATGATTATTACATGAATGAAATATATTTCTCTTTTTTGTGCTTGTAGAGCAGACATTCATTTGTTCACAATCTTTCTGTAATCCTCCTTTTTGATTGTCAGGTTGTGAAAAAGCTGAAGAGTGAACCCAGAAAGAAACTGGTACAAGTGAATATAGAAAACTGATATTTCACTAATGTTCTCAGATTCATGCTTGGTTCTGAAGATCAGATTTTTCTAGATTGCTGATTATTCACCCATCATGTAATATACACCCACAACTCAGTGCAACTACCACTTACCCACAGTGATTGCTTGTCTTTAGTATTTGTTCAGAATTCATTGTCTGTTATAGCACTGATCTCCAAAGAAAGACTGTGTATCCTTGAAGATATGTAAAATAATCCAGTAGAGTACAGGGAGTAAATAGTAAAACTTCTGTTTGTATTTTTGTGATTTTTGTAGAGTAACATTAGTACAGTAGCACATGTATACTATTTAAACTTTTTAACGATGCATACTAAAAATGTGTGCTAATAACATGATAAAATGTCTTTAGTGAAAGATGCGTGTCCAGCAAAATTTAGAGCTCATGTCCTGTACTTCATATCCATTTTATGCTTAAGTAATGACTGACTCTCCCTGAGGTCTGTCTTTGCTTTTTATAGTACATGTTTGCAGTACATAGCAATTATGTTTATCATGAGGAGATGAGGAGTTGATACATGTATGTAATACATCTTAATTCTTCTTTTTTTTATCCCCTGCCCCTTCTGAGCCCATACTATCTTTCTGATCTTTGGCAAGTTATAAAATTTCTCTAATCCTCTGTTTTCTTGTCTGCAAAATATAAGGAATAATGATACATTGCATAGGATGTAATAATTATTGTTTCTGTGAAGAGTTTTATAAGATAAAGTGCAATTCACATGTGTGCAAACAGAGAGCAGACAATACCTCATTTTTATATGTTCAGCATTTTTTGCAATAGCTAGAAAATGGAAGCAGTTCAATAAATACATAAATAAATGAATGAGTGAGTCCATGTACAGTACCAATAACAATCTTACAGGGAAAAGTAAGATGTGGTAAAAAACATAATGAATCACTAAGTGGGAGGAACCAAGTTGAATCTTACTATATCCTTAGTGCTGTAATATTTGAAGAACTCATTTTCATTTTTACTAAGTTCAATTCTTCCTATATAAATTGGGTACAACAATGTCATTTCCTGTCTTACCTCACAGGATTGTTTTCAGAATAAAATTTTTATGAAATATATATGTGTGTGTGTCTGTGTATGAACATTTGTTATGAACTCTAAAGAAAACTCAATGCTAACATTGCTTATTATTTCTTGGGTTCTATATCATTGCATTTGACTGGAAGAAATGATACCTCCTTCTTTTATTACATTCTTCTCGGTGTCTAACCCAATACTTTATCCATTGTGAGTTCTTTTTTTATTTTTAAGAAGCTTATGAAAGAATGGTGGCCTTCTGTTTTCCAGGTTGCCCTTCCTTTTCAGGAAAATTCGTGATGGTGTTTGAGGGGTTCCAACCAGTACCAACTTGTGTGCCCCTAAGCACTTTTATAAATAAAAAGGCAAAGCATGTCCTGAGCGAATGCTTGCTTTATACCTGTCTAGGCAATCAACCTGCCACCCACAGAAGTGTTGGAAGTTTGGCAGTTAATCATTAAAGCAGATTTTGTGGTCTGTTCTCATGGTTGCACTGTTGAATTTTTCCCATTCTGGTGCTCCTTGGTCATTTGATTCCATAACAAAAGCTGTGTGGACAATAAATTGTCCATATCTCTGCAGCATCTCCTGTGATAAGAGTCCCTTGTATACCTTAATAAATAAATCAATAAATACTTTGTGAATGAAGGAATTAACTCTCCAAAATTAAGAATATGCATTCTCATTATAAATTTTGAAGTATTTGCTTAACCATTTATTTGCTAGAATTGTCAATTGTCCCCAATTTTTTTCATTATGAAAAAGACTAAAAAAAAAATTAGAGTTTGTGTTGAATTTATTTCTAATATTTTAAGCTCTCCCTTCTCCAAAAAACATTGTAATTTCTCTCCTGTGTTTATGTGTGTACATATATATAAATAATAGGTATACTTTCGATTAAAATTCAGATTTATCTAAGCTTCTATTTTTCCAAAACCCATAATCTTGTGTTTGAGCAGAGAAAGAAAGTATCACTGTGTGTTTGAACACAGGTACATCCATTCTCAAGGATATGCCTTTCTTTAGACGACTTTCACTTTTTCTTCCAAATATATAATTCAAGAAATTACTCTGAAGAAATCAGAAGTCACAGAATATATTTTAGAAATTAACCATTCAAGATACTATTATCTTTGCTTTCAGAAATTGAATCAAGAACTTGCAAGTTAGAAAATAATCACATTTTATGAACTATTTAAATTTGTTTTCCCTAAGGTTTAAATTTAAATACAATTTTTCTTACTCTCCTAAATACCCCTTTGCTGAATCAATTGATAATGTTATCTCCGCCTGGCTTTTATTGTAAAAATTCTAAGAAGTCCAAAGTTGTATTCAGCTGCTCAATTGACCATTTAAGTCCCTCCTCTTTTCTTACCCTGTCTACCTCCTATTTGGTTCAATTAATGAGGAGTGAATTAGCCAAAAAAACAAAGAACAAGCGAGGAGAAGAGGCAAAGCCCCAAATAGAGAACTAGATAATTAGATCATAGATGATTGGATCCCAAATAGTTAAGAGTAGACTTAAAATAGCTCATGTCAAAAAGAGAGTTCAAATTGTTGTCCCCTTCAAAGACTGGAGAATTCAGTGTCGAGATCAGTTGATTCTCACACTGATGATGTGAAATGACAGTCAGCAACATGCAGACCAGGCTAAGAATTTAGGGAGCGTGGAGTAAATGGAGATGAATCTTTTTCTCGTCAATTAGGATTGCATCTCTTAGAGCTTACTTACTCTGCTGCATATTAACAGCATGTTGTAAACACATTTTGTGCTTCTAAACATTGGTAGTAATTAGAGAAAGTGAGTTTTTTTGGTCACAAATTAATTGCAAAAAAAGTGATGATAAAGACTTTATTATTAGTTCATTACATAACCTAGTACCTCTGGGTCTTTCACAGGGAGATTGGTATAATGCAACCTACTTTCAGACAGGTGACTAAATTGGACTCAAGTAGAACTTAGAGTTCAGTCTATCAATATTCATTTACTACAGCAACACAGTGGGGGTCTTTTTAAATTGACGGATTTTACTGTTTTAAAATACATGCCAGAAATAGCCACAAAAGATGATTTTGTAGTTTGAAAAAATGCATCCAATATTTGGGTTTCAACTACTAAAAATTATAAATAGATCTAAATTATGTTTATCCATAGTGAAGTCAAAGTACCAGCCACTCAAATATTCTCAGTATCACCAATCCCCATTATAAGTCCTCAAATGGCTGCTGATTGTTAGTACATCCATCAGGGCAGGGAAAATAAAAGAGAACAGATTGTAGCAGAATGGGGAGGAGCAAACATAGATATGGTGAGCAAAATAAGTACAGTTCTTAAAGCAAGAGTAGGAAAGGAACACTGCATAGTTGTGCACACTGCAAAATCATTACAATCATCTGACCAATCTACATTCCTCACTAGGGATGGAGTCCCTCCTATTAAATAAGTGTTCAGAATCAGAAGGCAAACAGCAGCTTTGAATCACTTCTGGCTCTGTATATATTGATTATGATTACCGAATGAGGATCATTTGCCTAGTGCATTTTCCCCATTCGGTACTTACCACAATCTCTTCACTTCCTTCATTGTATTTGGTGCCATTTATTTATTTTCTTATTTTTCTCAATCTCTAAATTGTAAGCTACCCATAGTCACTTTTCTTAGGGAGGGAGATTTCTTTAATAAAAGATGAACAACACCCCAATTACTGTATTCCAACTGTAAATATTTTCTGACTTCTAAGAGCTAAGATTACTTTTGCCTGTTCTTGGACTTAATATAATGAAATTATAAAGAATAGACCATTTTGTGTCTGGCTTCTTTTTCTTAGTATGATGTTTATGAGATTCATATTACTGGTATAGGTGTAGAATGCTATGATTTCAGTAAGTATCTCCCAAAGGTCCATGTGTTAAAGGCTTGCTCTCCAGAATGGTGCTACTGGGAGGTCATGGAAATTTTGGGAAATGAGGCCTAAGGATGTCCTTAGATTACTGGGGATATTACTCTGTTGGGGGCTGTGGAAGCCCAGTCCCTTTTTCTTCCTCTCTTTTTCTTTCTGTCCACGAGGGTCCATCACATATTTTCTGCCATTTCCACCTCTATGTCCTTCAAAGACCCAAAGCATTGAGTCTGCCAAGTCTTTGCATGGAACCTCCAAAACTGGGAAGCTTAATAAACCTTTTTTCTTCATTAGTTAATTATGTCAAGTATTTCCTTATATGGATAGAAAAGTTTAGATTATTCATTCTTATTGCCCTGAATTATTTTATGTGAATATACCAAGTTTAATTGTCTCTTCCATTATTGATATGCATTTGGATAATGTCTACTTGGAAATATTCCAAATAATGCTATAAATAAATGTTCATGAAAAGTAATGTCTTTTGGTGAACATATGTACACTCCTCTGAGGCATCTATACATAGCAGTGGAATTACTGGGTCATAGGGTATGCATATGTTCAGTTTCAGTAGATATGCCAAACAGTTTTTCACTGTGGTTAAACAAATTCCCTCTTCACCAGAAGTGTGGAGTAAGGAATCCTATCTGTTTTATTCAACACAGTATCTTGTGCTCCTATAACAGCACCTAAAATTTGCTCAATAAGCCCTGGATGAATAAATTCACGTAATCTAGAATGTCTAAATGACTACTGATATTTCATTGGTTGTTTCAACCTTATCAGCAGCCAAAACAAATTTCTAGCCCACTTTACAATTTTGCTAAAGGCTGTCCCTAAAGACAAGGGGTGCAAAAATGACTTCTTCATAGAATACTGTTTTCTAGTACAAATAGTTCACTAATAATGGAATGAGCACTATCAACTTGGTAATGTAATAGAATATGAATATCCTCACAGAGGAAGACATTTTAGTGTCAGCTACCCTACCCCATCATTGTACAATAGATAACACAGAGGTCCAAACAATCAAGTTGTATCCCTAGGCTTCAAACAATATTCTTGGGATTAATAAGTGGACACATTCTGTGTTTTCTTCTTTAAAACTTTGGGTTGGATGACTATTTAATTTCTGTGAAACACTGTATTTAGGGATGCTAGAACAGACCTGAGTCCATATTTTATTGATACACTATTCATATTTTTACTGTGACTGCTTTCCTTTGTTTTCATTACCTAAGAATGACAAATTTCTATTAGTCACCATGTAAAATCATTCAAGCTTTTGAAGAGATGAGCATTTGGTTTTTTTGTATGTGTGTTTTGTTTTTTTTTTCTCATGATCTGGTCAGAATCAATTCTGAAGATAGTGATTTTTTAAGTTGAATGTTTTATTTATTTATTTGTATCAAGTGCCTCTGACAAAGCCATGTTGCAGAACAATAAGCTTTAAATCTTTCATCTAAAGAATACTTCATAGTGAATATAATGAAAATTCAAAGAAATCCAATTCAACATTTCACATGTACATGATGAATAACTGCAAATACTTTGACAAGGATTAAGTCATTTCAGTGTTCCAATATCTGAGACATAGACTGGATTTTGATGAAGATTTGTGTAGTAGACTTAACTAATTACTTCCACTCTTTACCCATTCTTGTATCCCACTGCCCTTCCCATACTTACTTTTCGGCTTCTTCCAATAAGACAAGAGTTGTGCCTTGTTATCCATAGGGCATTGGTTCCAAGACACTTCACAGATACCAAAATGTACAGATGTTCAAGTTTCTTGTATATGACAGTGTAGTATTTGCATGTAATCCATATGCATCCCCCTATATATTTTAGATCATATCTACATTACCTATAATACCTATTACAATATAACTGCTATGTGAAAGATTGTGATACTACATTGTCTAGGGAATATTGACAAGAAAAAATCTTCACATGTTCAATAGAGATGCAATTTTTTTGTATATTTTTCATCTGCAGTTGTGGAATTAGATATAAAGTGAGACTATAATGTCCCACCTTACTTACTTATGTGGCATTCTCTGGCCAA